AATATACTGTTGAATTGGCATGAAAAGACAAATTTACTCTTATATGTTTAGGTATGCTTAGAACATGTTTGGGAAGTGTTTGTAAACAATTTAAATTATAAATAATAGAAAAGAGTGGTGGATAAATATGTGGTACTTGTAAATTTTTCGAAATGTGTAAATAAAAAGGGGATTGAATATGTATAAACCACTTAGGAACATGAACCAAATATAGGCTTATAAAATTAACTTTCTTTCCTGGTAATATTTCAAAATAAGTTACTTTAAGCCCATCCAAACACACTATACTTTTATATTAAATTTTCCTTGCATGCTAAACAATTTACTAATCAAGAAAATATATATACACATTTGGGAAAGTTTGTGCTTGGCTTCTCAACTTTGCGAGTAGCATGATTTTGGGTCGTTAATTTTCAAAAATGAGGTTCAATTACCCAACTTATTAAAATATGTGAATTTATATCTTAATGTGATGGAATCGTTAACGTTAATGTTAAAAGCACGCAGAGAATTAAAGTTGGACGTTAAGTGATTTGAGGATTTCCCCCTTCAAATTTAAGTAAGGTGAAACTGAATGTAATTTTAACTTTTACATTGATAATTATCATCACGTGGGATCTAAATTTACATATTTAAATGGGATGTTGGGATTCGGAATCTCAGTTTGAATGTTAGGACTTTAAAACCACTCTAAAGGCAAGGAGAGAGTGTAGCCTTAGTTTTCATATCCAAATATTCAAGAATAACTAGTTTTGATTCTTATCCCGTTTCTGCTTTGAGAAATGATAACCTCATAATCTGCCCGATCAAGTTGTTAGTAGATTCAATCACCACGCTTTTTATAAAAGCATCACCTGCCCACCGAAATAAATCGTTAAGGTGCAAATGCCATTTCTACCTTTTCTATAAAAAAAATTGTGCTCAAATCTTGGATTTATCGTAAAAAAAAAATACAGAATTACATTAAGTAGCTTGAAATTTCCAAGTGATAGGATTTCGAGTCTAGACCCAATTATATTTTGTGTCTTAGAACCAATTTTAAAAACATGATAAATCCAAGATTGAGTAGAAAAAAATTATTAGAAAAGGGTTGGTTGAAATTGTTATGGTGCAAATATATAAGATGTGGTGCGCTGCAAGCCAACAGTGTCCCCTGCTCCCAGAAAGGTTCATCACACTACTACTGCAAACCGGGTGGTGAAGCTAACCCCTACAGCCGCCAATGCTCCACCGTTACCGACTGTGGAGTTAACATTTATTTTTTTGTTCTGTCCAATTCGGACCAAACATGTTTCTTGTTCTTGGGTAGAAATAGCGTTGTCTTCCATGGTTCATTTTGTCGGGCTATTAGTGAACTCTCTCTAGTCTCTAAAAGAATATTCTCGTTATTGCTTCATCGTGGAGTCAATATGCAATGAGAGAAAATTTAATATTGATGCGAGAATCTCAGCTCAAGACTTGGGTTATACGAGCACATTATATTCTATCTCGAAGTAAAAAGGTTTTGAGGGCATTTTTGTCATATCGCAAGGCTAAAACCCAACCGGGAGACAATAATATTCAAGTTGCAAACATAGACAACCATGACACTGCAGCTTCTTTACTCTACCCTGCAATGGTTAATTTTTCCACCATTGGGCAATTCTTGATTTGACTAAATCATAGGCAACCCATTGCGTATTTCTAGAACTTCAATAGCATTTTTAATGTTGTACTAAATAGAACTGGGTAAGGTTAAAAGAAGAGAGGCCAGATGCTCGTTCATTATCCCGTCAAATCCCATCCAGTCCAGCATAACAAACGTACCTCATGAACACATACCTTAGAAGAAATTGGTTTCTTTTCACTGAGCTACATATCCAGGAACAGGTTTAACTTGGTACACAAAGTTTTGAAAAAATAGCTTACAAAACTAGCAATTCAGTTGCCTTTCTTCTTCTTGGAATTTGAAGACTTATAATTCGTATCATGCTCATATGGATATTCAGGCGAAGCATTCCAGAGGCCTCCTAGTATAATTAAGTGAACCCCGAGCAGCAGCGCCGATGAATAAATGTTTGAGGGATAGATATTCCAGCAACACTCGACTGTCGCAAACAAAATTAAACTGCAGAAAAGATCGACTTCTTAATTTATCACGAAAAACACCAAGGGCACAAGTAAAACAAAACAACGAGTTATATTTTCAAGCAGCATACCGTAGCCATGTAGGAAAAGGTGTTCTCCACAATAAATAGGGCAAACTATAGAAATACCTGCATAAAATGCTTCAACTATAAATGATAGTATTTCAAAAATTGGTTTAAGCATAATGCTAAGCAACAGACATCATGATTACATTGGACCATGGATATGAGATACCTAACATCAATATATTTCACCCTCTGTTTATAATATCCCCCAGTCATTTAGAGCATGTTTAGCTAAGCTTCCAAAAAACAAAAAATGTTTTTTCTAAGCATGGATGTGATAACTTTTTTTCTCTCTCTCAAGTAAAAAAGTTCATATTTTAAGCGTAGCCAAACATGCTCTTCATCCCCAAAAAAATGCAATGTGCAAATCTTGTTAGTTTCCGGCCAGCTAGGGCAGGTGTAAGGGCAATGGAGGCCTTGTAAAGGTGGCATGAAAGAATGGAAGTTTGGGAAATAATTTGAAGTGGTTCTTGCCATAAGAATATTAAAATTCTAATGGCTATTCAATTTCTACTTAGAAAAAATGTGCAACTAAACAGTGTGACAATATGATCATTAAAATATGAACCCTTGTCCCTTCCTACGCAACTAGATAAACCCAAGAGGTAAAGCAGAACTGTCTTGCAAGACTCACCAAGAATAGAACTGATAGTGCAGGGATCGAGCACATACAATTCCAATGAAGTTCCCAACAAACATAGTTGTCGCAATGTCTGAATCAAGTAAACCAATGTTTGACATGCAAAAATATAATCATGAAAAGAGATTAGAAGATGTAACCCTGCAAGGAGGAATCCATTACTTACGCTCCATTCTAATAGATCGGAAATTCGAGTCATGACTGTTGAACTGTTTAAGTGGAAAAGTTCTAAGCTTCATTTGAATAATTCTAGAATGCAAGAGAGAGAACAGCCCTCCTTCGTGCCTGCATAAGTTGGACAAATAAGAAAAGATAATAAAATCAAATGATGCCTTAAAGAAAACACCAGGGACCTATCGACACAAGAAACTTAGAATTGAAGTCGTATAAACAATTAGAACAATATATATTGCCAAGCCCACATCATAGATAACTAGCAACAGTTCATATGCTACTCACCGGCACCATCTATAATGGGCAAAAACTGTAAGCAGACTAAGATGAGCCGCCAATAAGAAAAGCGCAAATCCTCTTGATACAAAAACTGGTTCTGGAACAAATTTAAAATTAACAGACCTGTAATCACAATCAAATGTGTTTATTCGTTAACCTTAATTGTATTAGGACGATCAATGTAAGTTGAAAATGCATTCTTAAAATAAAAGAGCTATATATAAAAATCTAGAAGTACTACATATAACTGAAACCAGAAGTCCATTCAGAATGTAACCAGCCAACTTAACACATATCAGATCTTCATATTTTATTCCTCCAAACATCACTCTTTAGGAGCAGAGAATGGGAAGTGGGTCCTTCTATAAACGAAAATTCTAGGTGTAGGGAAAGGATAAACAAACACGGTTCTTCCTAATTCATGCAGTCCTCTAAAAGAGTTTTTTATAGCCACCTGACTCACGATGCTACAGAAAATTAGAGGCCTGCTTAGATGTTTAGAACAAGCAAAAATGTGTGTATTCCAGCACAAGTCCTTGATTGGATATTGTAGGTGTATAGATTCTGTTACTAGGCATGCCAAATCTTGAAACAACTTTTTCTCAATCTCTTTAATGCCTTATGTTAGGTTTTAAGTTGTGTTGGCAATTCTTTAGACAAAAGAATTATTATAAAAAAGTTGTAAAAGGAATCTTTTGGGGTAATGTATAGATGAACCAGGAGTCTTTGGATTCGAGTATGAAATATAGAGAAAGAGTCGCCGAAATTATATTGATACTTGAGCGTCCAAAACAGAAATATTGTCGTTTGACTGTTGCTCGAGCGACGGTATTTTTCGAGAAACCCTAGTTCGCGATTTTCAAGATTACTATCTAATACTTCTTATTATAAATACACAATGCCCATTACGTTTTTGTGGGTGGTTGATCATTATTTTCTACCTTCATAACATCATTTGGAGATCAATTAACAATTCTACATCTTGAAATCAATCAATCACAAGTTGGGAAAAACATCAAAATCATATAATCCAAAACATCAACTTCCTAAATATACCCAGGAAGGTATTTCTCAATAGCTTTCAAAAGTTACTGAAAATTGAGAGAGGTTGGATTAGAAACACAAGAAGAGTACAAGAACAAGGTGTTCTTGGTGATCCTAGGAGATAGACAATTTCAGGAGCAGGTGTGAGTGCAGCGCGATTCAACGGATCTTGAAGATTGTAGGAATTAGATCAGCGGGTCTAGAGGGTTTTCTAGGCTGGATC